GCTTGGCTACAACTACATTCCTTTCAATCGCAATACTCGTTTATTTTGAAACTTAACCAACCATGTGTCGCGTGTCGCGTGTCGTGTGTTTTTTTTTTTTTTGTTTTTTTTTCAATAACGCTTTTATTATGCAAAATCCCCAAGAGAATATTTTTGGCATCGGAGTGTAATTATATTCAGTTTCACAACATAATTAAATTGAATTTTTTTATTTAACAAAAAGAAAAAGAGAGAGAGTGAGTGAGTGAGGATGGAGGAGTAGTAGTAGTAGTTGTTGCTGAGTCAGTGGGCAATTTAGTGGTCCTAATGCAAGCATGTGGATGGTTGCTTATCTGAAAATACTTGTCTAATTATGAGATTAGTTAAGGAGTCCTATTTTAAAAATGTTTGACATGTATGTCATCCTCTAGGCAATTGGACCTACCATGTTCCTCTTTTCCTATTGAAGTATTCCTCTTCAAGAATGGATCCAGCCAAGCGTGCGTTTTCCATTTGCATGTCTCTTTCTTTCTTTTATACTACACACACATATATATATGTATGTATATGTATATATATATTTCTTCAATTTCATCCAGAATAATTTTGATATATACTCATCATGAATGAAGATTACAGCTAGCAAGATACATTTGTATATATCTTAGGACAAATTCGCATGTTTCCCTAGAAACATACGTATATTGTTGCTGGCAGTTGCACTAAACATTACGTTTCCATAGATATAGATCTTCTCCTTCAAACATTCGTCCTTTCTTGGGTAATTTTTGCTCTACGATCGATCGACTATATATCTTCCATGCAATCATACCAATAAACGAAGTAAATTCTAGAAGGATTGAACGTGAAATATGTAGAGTATATATATGTAGGGCTAGCATTAATTGGTTTGATTGATCGGGGAACTAGCTATAATCATGAGGTTTGGGCTTCGTTTCTTCTATTATATATATACTCCTCCCGTGTATAGGCGTCAAATTAAATTCCTTTGTCAAAGAGTATACTGCCAGCTCCTTCATGCTTCTAGTGGCTACAAAAATTGTCCTACGTCCAACAACAACTACTACTACTACTAGCTATTACACACACAGAAAGATAGATATAGATATAGATATATACACACACACACACAGAGACACACGTAACTACTCACAGACAGACGTGTATATAATTAAATTCATTGTACTCTATATATACAGACATTCATTGCCATATCCTATATCGCTTTTTTCACTTGTTGGTTTCAGTACGATAGCTGACTAATGCATATAATTCCAAGGCTTGGCAAACTCAAAAGACTGGGCTAACTGATGATGAGCACTGACCGAAGGGTTAGTTGATCTAAGCCTATCAAGGAAGAAACCAAACCCAACCGAGAGGGGATTTAACACCACTAGCTAATTGCTAGCTATATCGCCTTTGTCTGGTGGACAAGAAATCTCAACTAGCCAACATAGATTGATTGGTGATGCTTAATTATGCAAAAACACACACGCATGCATACACAGACATAACTCAATTTAGTAGGAAGGAACGAGATATTTTTTGCTGGTGCAGGCTGTAACCCTTTGAATGGTTGACGAGATGTGATCAGAAGTCAGTCTGCACATAGAATAAGGATAAGGAATTAGATAAGGTTTCATAGCTTAGCACCAAAAGATTGATGTATCACGCTTCACCTTCACGTTTCATGAAGTTTAGCTTTCGTACGTAATCATAATTTTGTTGGATCATTTCATGTGGATACCTTTTGATCATACTGTCTGAACATCTTGTTTCGGTTTTCTCTTTGTAAGAAGCGTATATTGATCAACCGGCTTTGTTCAGTTAATCTAACTGATATTCGGATAAGTCCAGAATTGTAATCAAACACGTGATCATCCTTCTTGTAACACTTGGTAATATTTAAGACGACAACCTTATGTTCACATTCCTGAGCATTTTCAGCGATGGAGAGACGAAGCAAAGAACCTCCAAAATTCTTGGGCAACTTGACCACGGATTGTGAATAATTGATGCCTCAATTATTTCCAATAATTCAAGTGATTGAGGTTATCCAATTAGACGTACGAGATATTAATTGATATTTGGGATTTCTTACTTTTGAAATGCATGCATGATCGGTTTTTAAGTCACATGATATCTTGATAAAATATGGAGATATCCCTATTGATTACGAAATTCCAGTCCCTGATCTTCGTAGCCATGGTCGTAAAGAGAAACCGGAGGGTGCCCTCAAAGTCATTGACGCATCCAGAGGGAGACGGGAAAGGGCAGTTCTTCTAAGATAAACAAAATCTACTTTGACCTCTTGAAATTTTACCCCTCGTTTCTTGGAAAAGAAAAAAAAAACCCTTTTTAAAGTAACTATGCCCACACAATACTAGTACTATAACATTTTGTTTCCCTATTATAAGTACAATATATATTGGCCATATAGAGTAAATTTTGGTCTCAAAGCAAAAGTATCTCCATTTGGGGAAATGAACCAAGGAGTGAGTTGGATGTCTTCAACTCCGAAGTGTGCCCTGTGTGCTTGAGCGTGGACCTTTAAAAGCATTCTTGAGAAGAGGATGCACTGAAACCAAAACAACTGAACTGGAGTGATTGTGATGATATATGAGGATTTTACCCTAGTCTGTTTGATGCTTGAAGTTGCATTTCATTCTACACTTATAGTTAGTTTGGGAGTTGAGGATAGAAAAGAAAAGAAGAGAAAGGTTAAGTTACGAGAGAAATGAAAGGATAAGAAAAAAAGAGAAGAGATTTTAATGTTGTTTGGGAATTTATGAAAGAAAGGAGATGATTTTGGACACATTGATTAATAAAAATTTCATTTAATAGCTTTTCAAGAATAGAATGAGCAACTAAAAAAATTTTTTTGGTGGCTTTCCTTTGCTTGCTATCCGATTTGGAATGGAAATTTTTTAAAACTGTAGCTCCTCTCAAATCAGTCCAATTCTTTTCTTCTCTGTTTCACTAAAACTCTCAAATGTTGGAAGCACCTAATTTTCTCTTTCCTTCTTTTCTTTTCTGCTCAAATCCCACCTCCCAAACTAGCTATTAAAGTTCCAGCCTGTGTGTTCTACAATATGATCAAGAAATCATTAGGAAGGGGTCACCCACTACCAACAAGAAAGCGATTCGCTTTTAACTCCCTACACTTCATGATATTTGCAAATTAGTTCTAGGCTCTAGCAGTCTTGGTACCAGATTAAAATACCAATCACATCAGTAAATCTCTCACAACAGTAGTAATAACTGGTACGATGTCAAGTGTTAAAAGTCATCGATGAAAACTCATGCGTGGAAAATGAAATTGTCCATTTTCTTCTTCAGAGCCAACTCCTCTTGTACTATAATTATTAAGGAATATCTTACCAGAAATTAACATTTTCTGTTTACAGCATCGTCTACCAAGCCTTAAGGCTTTGGTGGGTGGGAGGCAAGGGTTCCACCAATATGCCACTCTTGTGGCTCTGCTTCAAATCCAGACAGGTGCGTAGTGCACTCGTCTGGTTCGGTGGTGATTCTGTCCCCATCGATCTCCATAAGCTCAGTTGAGCCTCCCCGTAGATAGAGTAGGAGTAGGAGTAGGGTTGACAATTGATAAAAAAAAAAAAAAAAAAAATATTATACGTCTTCTTCTTCTGACAGTTCAAGGGGAGAAGAATCACAAATGTACAGACGAGGGAAAGAGAAAAATAGAACATATAATTCGCAGGATATATATTATATATATGGTGTGGACGAAACTATACAATTTGGCCAAGTGGTTCAATAGAACATATGCCAGCAGATCAACGACATGTGCTTGGAATTTGGAAATCCGTTAGTTAATTGGGCATAGAGATTAATCTAATATTGTAATGCGAAAGAAAGAAGGTTGTGTTCAACGTCACGTACGCTAAAGAAACGAGAAAAGATGGCTGTCAAAAAAAGACAACAGTGTTCACTTGCATGTTAACATGTAACAATTTCAACGAAACACTTTGTAAAAGTCAAAAGCAATCATCGATTTGAACCGACTTTAATCTTTACTATTCGTCAAAACACAGAATCATGGAATTATTACTTGCCCAGCTCAACACGAACAATAAGCTAGCTAGCTTTGGAGAAAATTAATAAATTTAATGACATCGGTCGATCGGTCCTACTTTTCCTAACAACAAAAATATATATAAGCACCAGATTAAGTACGTAGCACAATTTTAATCCTCTCATTCATTCATTCATTTTGCTATACGCACGCCGCTGCTTCCATTGCCGCCAACCCCCATTAACTTAGTTAGGAGTTCATATATAATTGTGATGGATCATATCATGACCCTTCTCCTCCTCCTCAAGGTTACGCGTCTCGTCTCATGTTGATGTATTGACACGACACGTGCCTTTCTCGAGATTTATACTCCACCTAATTAGTAGTAGTACAGTGTTATCGTGATAGTTTTAAGAAACACTACGGGTCTCCATATCATATGTCAGAGCGGGCGTGTAATACCTAAAGACTGGTTGTCCATCCCTGGAGCCGCCAATTAAAAACCTCTCCGGAACTGCCGGTGCAGCCGATCGAGTCCATATGATCTCATCTCTTATAAAGTCACCGGCCGCTACTTCTTTTTCTTCCTTTTGGGGTTGAGTCCAGTAGTAGTAGTGTCTCTCTGCCTCAACGCCCAAAACAGACAAATTGGAGAACATAGCAAGAAGAACATGAGGGAAATATATACTTTGCAATAATGGAACCAAACTAAAAATGCCCCACCATTCAAGTGGGTAATGGAACCATGTGCGATCATATGGTGGTTGGCCCTTTCAAGGCCCACACCCAAAAAAAACTCTCTTTTTAACCCCAAAATCTTGAAAACGAAAGATGGAGGGAGCATACAACTATAATTCCTTTTTTTTTTTTTTTTGTATTTAGAAGAAAATGTTTTCAATTCTATGAAAAATACAACCAACACAATAAAGATTGATTCCCTTAAGTCGTCTCTCCTCTTTCTCACCGCCCATTCTTAATCTTCTCTTCCTAATCTTCTTTTTCCTTCATTCCCTTCACACGTTGCTTCCTCACATTTCCCAATCTCTCCCTCCTCACCTTTTCCTTTTCCTTTTCCTTTTCCTTTTCCTTTCTTCCTCATATATGTTATGTAATTAGTACAGTAGATAACTAGATATTGTGTCAGAAGTCAAGAAACTTGTTAATTTCCCTTTTGTCCTTCTGAGCAAAGAGGCCCCTTTGTGTCAGAAGAAAATCTTTTATCTGCAAGTACATACCCTCCCACCACTACTAGTATTGCCTGTTTCTCTTTCAATCCCGTCCCATGAATCCAAACCAAACCAAACCCTTCCTTCTTTCGTAGTTCGGATCATCCTATATAACTAGTATATATTTACTTCCTAGAAAGCTACAAGTGCAACAAGTCAAGTACCCTCAGAAACCCTAAATTTTTCCCACCTAGTTCTTGACCCTGTCTCAGCATTCTTCTCAATGAGCCCTCAACACATGAACATCCCTTTGAGTCGTAGGTCGATCAGAACCAGGTTAGCTTACCGGTTCCTTCGAGCCCTGAAGAAACTGAACAGGCAAAGAACCGGTGCTGTAACTTCTTCAACTTCGTCATCTATCAGAGACACTTGTAGACGCTATCATATGGTTAAGATGGCTGCTTATGCATCCATGGCTTCTGCTGTCGGATCAAAACGAGCATGGAGCCGTGCTTTGCTCTCGAAGATTAGGAATCGAGGGCTGAACCGTTGGCTTGTCAAGCGAAACAAATCTCGTGCATTAAGGGGAAGAAGCTCATCAAATGCTGTAGCAAAAGAAAACCCTAGCAAAGGGTCAACAGTTGGTCTTGAAGAAGCTCATCAAGAACTTCGGAAGCTCGTTCCGGGAGGTGAAGTTATGGATGTGTTGAGCTTGTTCGATGAAACTGCCCATTATATAAAGTGCCTCACCTCCCAGGTACAAATCATGAGAAATATTGTGGATTTTTATTCGGATTGATGATAAGCCAGCTGTTATGGTTATAAGCACAACAGTACATCATCATCAACAGCAGTTCATCTGATGCATAGATCAGAAAGAGATGATCCCGTCTGGGGGTGGATGCAGAGGTAAGTGCGTGCCAACGATGACCAAGGAAAATAAGGTGGCTTTTAATTAGGTTCATGTTTCATACGAGTAAATCTGAGGTACGACTTTTCCAACAGTAAGATGTGAGGGTCACATGTATGATAAGATGAAAAACTGTGTCACTGTTATTGTACAGAAATATTCAGGAGTTATTGTGTGTCTGTTTTGGTGCTTATATTCCCACTCATTCTTCTCTTCTCTTATTTTCTCTCTTGTATCTGGTGTGTGTTGTGTGTGAGACTATGACGATACTCTTAGATCTCTTGGAAGATATTTGCAGATTTTTGGCTCAACCGAGTGCAGCCCAAGATATGAAGCAAGTAAAGTATATATAATGATGGAGGTGAGACTTGTTCTGTTTGCCATGAATCATTATGACTTTAATTCTTTTTGTCTTCAGAAACCCGCAAAACAAAGGTGTTGTGAACTTTCTAATTTTGGAATCAAAGATAGAGAAAAATGAGAGAACTTTTCGAAAGAATTATAAGAAACTGATTTTGAGTAATAGTAACATGTATGGTTTAAGTATATACAGCATAATTTCGGTCCTCAAAAATTTTTTTTTTCTGGGAAAATACTGCTGCAAATATTTTTCTCTGTCACCTTCTTCTACAGTTATTATTCTGTCTTTATTGTTTGATTTAGGAGCTAGCTTCTCTAGACTTGAGAGAGTTTTCATTTACGATCGATAAGCAGAACGTTCCACTTCGTATACATGCATCTGCAAATGCGTATTACAAAACTTGGCCTGCAAAGAATATTCCAGCTTTCCTGCCCGACTTTGAAAGATATTAAAGTTTTTCTCAAGAATCTTCTTCCCTTTTTATTTGAGTCAAATATTTTTCTGTTCAACAGAGTTTTGTGCACAGTGCACATATTATTTGAGAAAAAAAAAAATTGCAGATCGCTCAGTTTTTTTTTAATACATATATTTATTTTCCACTAAAGTTCCAGATGCAGGGTATTGTACTTTTTTCTCCCCATAAGCGAGAAGCTATTCCGTTGAGTGAATGTCTATTTTCTACTTCACATTGTCTTAACGTATTACCTTACTTTTTGAAAGGCAATAGAATATGCTAAACCCGAATTATGGAGTGTGCTAAAGTAACATCTTTCCTCGGTCTTAAAAATTTCCATTTCTAAAAGTTTCCCAAGTAGGATACTTGGATTACCTTCGTGCATCCAAATTAACACGTTTTGGGACTCTGTGACCTCATATGTGTGTGTGTATATGTATATATATATGTATGTATGTATAAAACTACTGCTGCTTTTGAAGAATTGAAGAAAGAGAATTCGAGCAAAGATTCAGGTGTGGTTAACATCCATAGCACGTACAACCTACAATTTGGGGGGATTTCGATATGGATATGCTACTAGCTTGTAAAGAAGACTTAACCTACATATGGATTCTTTTTCTTTAAGGCTTATAGTACTACTCATGCAGAAGAACTTGCAAAAAATAGTTCTAAGATTAGGATTTGGTAACGTCAAAGGCTTATTGTGTTGTGGGATCCAGAGAAATATCTTTCTATTAATCTGAGTAGAATAAAGAGTGAGGATTTCAAAAAGTTACTTGCCATGAACTTTGGGTTAGTGAATTTTGTGAATAAAACAAAACGTAACTTGCTTACTTATGTTACACATTAGAAGGAATTGTATGGTACAATTTGTTAATTCCTACGACTTTAGGATTTTTTTCAGTGTTATTTTGTTTCAGTAGTTTAGGATTCAAAAGTATTCAACTTGGTGGACTTTAGAATGCCATAAAGAGCTGTATTAGTGTTTGAGTTCTATTATTATCGTTATGTCTAATAGATTCCGCATAATGTTAAAAAAAATTTAATCTCATAACAAACAACTTTGGTTCATCAAAAGGAAGGGATTAAAAAAAAAGAGTAGAAGGAATTAAATTTTAATCCCAAGATCTCCTCTCGCCAAGTTTTCAATACTTACTATTTTCGTATATTGATTTATTTCAATTCCTATGAAAGAAAGAAATGATTTTCATGAAAGAAATAAGAATAGAAACAAATGATTTTCTATTGTCATTGTTGTGTCTAATATATTCCACATTATTTTCAAAAATTTTATCTCATAATAAAAACTTTAGAGCTCGTTTGGGTTGTTATTTTGTAGAATTTTTGTTGAAAAATATACTGTAAGAATCTGATGTATGTAAAATAAAAAAGCGATTGAAAAATGTATTCATAAAAATTTTTCAAGAAAAATGGCAGTCCAAATAAGGCCTAGATTCATCAAAAGGATGAAAAAAAAAGTAAAGGAAATTATACTTTGTCCCAAGATCTTATTTTCCCAAGTTTTTTTTTTAATTAACCCTCCTTCACCTCTGTACCCCATCCCTTCCCCAAATTGTCAGATTCAAAATTTCATCTCCTTACCCCATCTCTTCCCCAAACTGTTAGATTCAAAATTTGAACTGTGAACCTAGCTGTTAGACTCAAGATTCGAGTTCCAAATTTGACAATGGAGAAAATTATAAGATTCTTCCCTGACCAGTGGGCCGATCCTAGTGGTTTTTTCCCAGGTTTCTATACTTATTATTTTCTTATATTGATTTATTTTCAATTCCTATGTAAGAAATGATTTTCATGTTCTTATTTTGGAAGGAAATAAGCATGAAGTATTAGTAAAATACTTGAATTGCAACATTTTTCATTCTTTTGAAAATTTGAGTTTAAACTATAACAATAAATTGTAACTAATGCTCAAAAAAATAAATTGTAACTAAAACCTAATTCCAAAATGGTAGGTATTTAAAGGAAAAAAAAGACTAATGCTCTTGTTTTTTGGACCATTTTTCATAAACATATATTAAAAAGAATTCAAACACATTTTCATTTATTGTAACATTTTTAAATAGCACTCTAAAAATAACCGTAACCAATGCAGCCTACTTTAATGTGCTCTGATGATCCAATGGACCGTAATAAATAGAACAATTTATTAAGAAAGGGTAAGAGTTTCTTGATGTGAAGGTGTAAAACAAATATAGATACTTGTTTTTTAACCCTCTCACATTTCTCCACTCCCTTCCCACATTCAACTATTTGATATAGGATTCGAATTCTAAATCTAAAAGTAAGAAAAATCCTAAAAGCCCTCCTGATGCAAAACTTAATAGGATATAAGACTTTCCTATACTATATATACATTAACAGGTTTATCTGTGTGTCACATATACAAAACTTAGAGATCAAATTCAATTTTTGCATATTTATCATACATTCAAACCTATTAGTGTAAGAAAAATGATCAAAACTTACCTATATTGATAATACCCATTGTCATTTTGATGATCATTATTCCATAGACTAGTAAATTTTAGCGGAGACACTATTAAGAAAGTAAAATAAAAAATCGATAAAAAATCTAAAATATGAAGAGAGCACAAAAATTAAAAAGTAAATCTTATACAGACTGACAGTGTATATACTATTACCATGGGATTCATGACATATGTGTAAAAGTTAAATTTTAAATTCAAATTTTGCATAATTATTATTTATTCAACGCTGATAGTATATAAACTGTCGGTGTAGGAAAGATTAATCTAAAATAAAATATACAAGCTCTTGAGGATTTAGGAAAGCAACGATAAGAAAAATAAAAGACAATTCTTATTTCTTATTGGGAGAGACTTAGCAGAAATTAGTAATAATCACTCTAGATACAAATGACCAAGAAAATAAATCACTCTAGATGCTACTATAACAAAGTAACCAACTCGATGCTAACTCCATCTATAATAATTCACAAATATATCTCAAAGTTGACTTTCTCCAATTTAATTACTGATGTTACGTGCAGCTAACATAAGTTTACAAGCATAAACTAGCAATGATTAGCATGCATTACCATAATCAGAGAACTTCATTAATCCAATTAACTACCTCCACTTTGGAACCCTAATACACTTTTAGTTTTCGGGGATGCCAACTATAAAACTGTAAAAAATAAAACTAAAATTTTCAGATAGACTATAATAAATTCATAGTGTCAGCATTTTAGCAAATATTAAACTTCGAGCTATAATTATGTGATGTTTGCGGGGAATCTTCCGAGGAAAAAGATGAACAACTCAGAAAATCCTAAAACATCAGAACGATACTATCCAAATGTGGTTGACAGGCATATTTACATCTTCATGTGGGGTTATATATATGTATATATATGTATGCATGTTTCATGTAGGGTTGTATAGTTTGATCTCCTCCGCTTACAATTATGATCGTTGTGCTCCATAAAACACTACACTAATCGCCCGAAGGCACAAATGTAACGCACCCAAACACATAATGCAACAGAGAGAACGTAATAATACTTACAAACAAAGAATTCAAAACCTTGCATACGGCGCCCTCTTGGGCTTTATGTATGGGTACCTTGTGTCCAACTTTTAGAGAACAACTAATTCCATGTAACTTGTTTTGAAGCTGACAAAACATAAGCTAACAAAACATAAATCGGGCACGATGTGGCCCATAAACCTCCAAATCTTCAATCAGGCAGATGATGCTGACTGTATCAAAGAATGATTCACAAAATTCAACTTTAAACCAGCCCAATCCTTTTGCTTCTTTCTAACTCGGAGTATTCACTTCCAATCCCAAGAAACTGAAACTCCAGGGTGTTACTTTTTTGGGTAAACTTTGAAGTCGGCTATAATGCAGTCAAGTTCAAGAGAGCGTACACTTCGTTAATCTTTTGCACCTGTATGAGAGAACTGAGGAGAGGCAAATCGTTCACATTTCAGGTGCCTTAGTAATCTGATTTACGTCTTGTCCGTATAGACTATACACAAAAGTAAACATTAATGGGGCTTGCAGATTTGAAGCCAAGGGCTGCAAAATACCAAAAAACTGTACAAGGAATATACAGCTTTCCCCACTTTCGCTTCGTATCCTCCAATTCTATAGGTGTACTGCTATCTATGGTTATGCTGCTCTACTTAGATTACGATCTACTCTTCTGCTGCCTATATATTGGATGTTCAATTAGCCTGCTGATTGTCCAAAAAAAAGAATGAGCCACCTTTCTGGGCCTCGACAATTCCACCAGTTTATGGAATAAGATGCGTGGTGAATCCCAAATTCCAGTAAGGAGCCACTTTTGTCAAGCCTCAACGGTGCTACCCGCTTGTGAAATTAGTACAGAGGGCAAGTCCCTAATCCGACGTCCACTCCCCCAGAACGAGGCTAGACAGAGGCCCATGATAGCCATGGCAACTACTGAGCATGCAGGAGGAACTGCTTGAGT